GCCAATCAGATTACAGCATTTGCATTAGTACACTAGTAGAATTCTACTAAAACTCGATAGAACACGGTACATGTTTTCTATTTCTTAAACATTTTTGGACAATTTTTGTTAAACCATCTTCTGCAAATCAAGGTGTAGTGTACATTTTGCACATGTAGTGTGTTGTGTACTTGTACCTGTAGAAGAAAAAGAAGTGACAAGAAATTAAAGTTAGGAAAGGACCAAGTTCTCAGGGTAAACATCAACAGTAGCCAATAATTATTTGAACTTTGAAGTTAAACAACAGGTGATGAGTTTCATTCTTGATTATCTGATGTAATGTTTGAGAAATCGAATAAATCTGAGCTAGAGCTTAGTGATCTGGGATATGAACCATTTGGCTCTCTGTGCTGCCAATAAACACCTTGTGTTACTACATATGCAAGTAGTCTAATTATGGTTTGTCCATGTAGCATGGTAGTTATTTGTGTGGTGGGGAATATGAAAAGTGAGGCTGGGAAAACCAACTTAAGGAGAGGGGAGAAAGCAAATGCATTCCACTTTTCACTTCCTTCATCCTTATTCCTCTTGTGACAAGTTTTGCCAGTTTTGCCAGTTTTGCCAGTTTGCCAGTTTTCCATTATTATTCAGTTTTTGCTATTTTGAGGTAGGAACAATGTAGATAAATCAGTGCTGGCCATTTAAAGATAGAGAAACCCAGTATTTCTAGAATACAGCTCAGTAAACAGTTCTGCTCATGTTTTTGATAATCACAGCTACATCTATGTAGGGTTAACTCTTATTTGTGAACTTTTTGATTCTTTCATTTAGGTAAATAATTAATTGCATTTGTTTATTTTTTTCAGATTCACTTCGCTTCCTGCGGAGAATAGTTGGCTTGAAGGATGAATTCTACAATCGCTACATTGTCAAGGGTCAGTTGTTTGATCCAGTGATTGCCACATTTAAAGAAAATGGACAGAGATACAATCTACTGAACTCTGCTATCGTAGAACTGTTTGAATTCATTAGAGCGGTTAGTACTGTTATTTCCTATTTTACAATAACTGTTGGCTCTCTACATGATGAGCAAATGGTGCAGCTGAGTGTATTGGTGCTCATACACGTAGATAGCTTACAGAAACAAGATACAGTATTTAGGTTTTTTGTAGTTATGTGGTATAAAGACAAATGGAAACAAAGAGTTTTGTGACAACTTTTTAATTCATTGTAGTATTTGCTTTAGTAAAGCTAGTAAATGCTTTTTAGACATTGTCTGCGTTTGTTAATGCACACACAATCTGTGCATCACGTAATGCGTGGATTTTATGCCATTTTCACGCTTGGGTTGAAACTGACAAAATCATTATGCGACCAAGCGCACGACTAAAATGCAAGTAAAACTGACCAGTTGTGTTTAATGAACGTATATTACTTGTAAGAATATCACCTCAGTAATAACTGCAGTTTTAGTCTGCTCATAAGTTGCTTCCATTTGCTCCGATAGCATAGGTCAGTGTGTGAAACAACAGATCTGTTTTGGTCTACGAAGTTCAAACAGTTGACTCAGTGGTTTGCTTTTGGAGTAAAATACTAAGGCCACGGCTCAAAAGGATTTTATTGATACTGGTGTTACCGTAGCGATAATATCAGTCATCACATTGCGTCCTGATTGTATGTTATTGCAGGAAGACATCAAGAGTTTGTGCTCACACGTGTGTGCCAAGTACAAACCCTTTTTCAAAGAGGTCACATATGTCAGTACGTTCAAAGGGATTCTTCAGCGGGATGAACAGGAGCAGGATAGAAAGCAGCAGAATAACAGGATTCTTGATAGGTAAGCCTGTAAAACTTGCTGGATCTTGCTTGTCTAACGTCGCATATCTCTAACTTTCCATTAGGCTCAATTTCTGCCGCTCTCGTTTGTCCAGTTCATGTAGGTCCCCCCACGCAGAGAGGGGGTGGAGTACCGGCTCAGTTTCCTAAACAGCGGCTGATAATCTAGCCTAAGTTTCCATTATTTCGAACCAAAAGTCATTCCCTTTAAAGTTGTTGCTATTTTTGTGTCTTAATATACAAAGCAAATCTCAAACCAGTCTTCTCGAACTACTGCTTTTTCTTGACGAAAACTCAATTTGTCTCCGCTATCTCAATTTGCTGTAAAGTAGTTGTTTTAGAGGCTAGGTAAACTTCGTATTTGATTCAGTTTTTTGAAAACTACAATTTCAGTAAATATAATACAGAGTATTTCCCTGTACAAGTGTAACTTAAGTTCACATGGATAGGACGCATAAATTAGCCATTATTATACTTAACTCTGCTTTCATTTTTCCAAGAAAATTTGCCAACCCAGTATTTCCAACTCCTGCTTTCTCGCACAAATCTTAATTCCCTTATGAGCTCCTTACCAAATTTACTAAAAAGGAAATTTTTTTCTGGAAGATTTTAAGGTATCCTAAATTGATAGTTTCTGTGTCATGTAATAACTCACGGCTGGTAAATATGAGAGGGATATGGTGAACATGTCCCTACCTTACATTTACTGTGTATTTGTCGCTCTTGGAACCTGTGTTTCTTGGTTTTACTTGCAGTAGAGCTGGGATCATTCATGTGAATAGTCGGTTCAGACGAGATGTGCGGACACTTGATGAAGAGGAAGAACTATGGTTTGACCAGGAAGATGAAAACGGTGAAGAAACTGTTACTCTAGAACAAACTGATCTTCTCAACGACGACTCCGCCTTTAAAAATCGAAAAACCTTTGTAAACGCAAAACCGCCACCATCCATCGTCAACAACAAACGGGTTAGTATTTCGGCTGTTCTTCCCTGTTTCCTATATCAGGGTTTGCTATTTCAGTTGTTACAAACTGGCATTTCTTTAAAAAAAATCAGTATCAAGATCTTATGTCCCTGAAACTTTCCTGAGTATCTTGTTGGGTGCTTATTTCGCCACCGTTACAGCCATAGTTGCTGTAAGATAATGCTTCTAGTGAGCGAAGTGTTATGTGACAACTTAACAGCTATGACTAAGGCCCACCCTGTAAGGCCTGCTCCCCTCCCCACTCCCGTCCCTAGATAATGAGCAAACTGTGTCTGTATATTTCCAAATGTTCTAAAAAAACTCTCAAGGCTGCAATTTTAAACAGTGGTTTTCCACATGCAGTCTGGCCGAAAAAACCTAGTTCTTTGCGTGCCTAGAGGCCTATCTTGCCATCTTGGACAAAACTAATGCCTTGATATATTCCTTTTATAGGCTTTGGTTGGACTTGTCGACTACCCGGATGACGAGGATGAGGACGAAGATGAAGGCGAAACGACCAGCCCAGCAAAAAGAGCGCGACTGAACGCTTCCTAGCATTTGCTTAGCAGCCTCCTTAGCGAGGGGCGCAGGCTCATATGTGGCCAGTCAACCTGGACAAAACTTCGACAACTGCATACGTAACATCTTGAGCCAGCAGAAGGTCGAGACATGCCGAGAGCATGAGAGTAGATCAAGAGAAATACAATGCCAAGAGAAGATTTGGCATGGGCAGGTTGATCCTCCGATCTTTGCGGCGAAATTTGAATCGACACGAGAAGTGATTCAGTGTTTGTTTTTTTTTGTTAACTCTCCAGTGACTTACACCATGTTCCTCCATATTGCCTCTTGACGTGCCGTCCTCTTTGCTATCCCTTTCCTATCTTTCTTTCGTAAAGTAGTGCGGTTTGAGTCACTAGAGGGTCTGCTACATCAGACAAACCTGGAGAATTTATGATTATATCACCAGAAAGTAAGGAGGCTGGCCTCTGAAGAACTAAGATGTATAAACATTCCAAATGCTACATCTCATCTCGAGCTTTTAAAGGAAAGATGCATTTTAACCTGTAGTTAGTCAGTATCGCTTAACTTAAATGGTTGTTCTAGACGCCAAATTTAATTTGATCGCTCTAGGCCTGACGCTCTAACAAGTCTCGAGCTTTCACTAATTGGCAGTACATAAAAATCCTTCCCTGATGTGTTATATACAAGAAGGAAGAGACCTGCAAAGCAGGTTTAACTCTTGCAATAGCGTTGGAAACTTTGATTCATGAATGAACATAATCATTCTTGCGCTATTTCTTCCTCAGTTTGGGTAACCGAAGAGGATCAACCTGCCCACAAGCGGCTTCAATCTTGGAAAGCTTCTACATTTGTTTTTAGAAGAATTAAGTTATTCCACTTGTACTTAAATGAATACGCCAATGGCAAAAAACCCGTCGTGAATTATTGTTTTAAGGATGCAATGGAGCC